GATTATAGCTTCCTGCCGAATGATTTTGCGCTTTGATCCTAAAATATAAAGACAAAAAAAATTATCAATATTGTTGAGATGGAAGATAAGGGGGCATTCATATAACATTATATCGAAGGTGGGCTTCAAACCACATAACAGTCTCAGAGCTGAATGTTTTTTAAATGATAGCTAAAGTTATATTAAATTAACAAAGTATTAAGGTTATATTATTTCAAATAAATAATAAGTTAGTCGCATAATAAGACTATTCTATAAAAAAAAATCTAGAAAGGAACAAGTTTCCAAAATTATAGCTAATGCCAGTCAACCTGTCGGGATTCTAGATTTTGATTATGTTATCGAATTATTTTGTATTGAAAGTATAATCATCTTCTTTCAAAGCTAAGGAAATTATAAGTAAAACGTACATTTACCTTCAAGATCGTACTTTGTGTAAAGCATTGATTTGTGTGTAACTATCTAGAATAAGATGGTTTACTTAATGATTGATCAAATTTTGTACGTGTTTGTGTGCGTTTTATATGGTTCAAAACCCACCTTTGATATAATTTTATTTGTAGGATATCCTCTAAGAGATATCGTAAGAATAGAATTCCCTCTTATTGGTTGACATACAGTATCAATCAACCCTTGCTAAACCAAACCCTTGGACTTAAGTCTGATTACAAATATATTTAGTATTTAATACAACTTCATAATAAAATAATTTTAAAGTTCGGTTTAGACAGTTAATTAAGTGTTCGGTTTACCCTATGAAATGGTGAACCCCGCAGTAACTAACCCTAATTAAGTGTAGAACTGCATCAAGATTTTACCATCATATTTGAACTAATCAGATTTATCTCTCACGAGTAAGACAAACCCAAAGAGAAAATTTCTATAATAAGATATAGGAACCTCACCAGAGTTTATATTGCTCGTCCGCAAAATTAAATCAAATTTTGAATTTGATCAAATATTTGAAATTATTTGATCAAATTATTTAAAATTTTGATCAAATAATTTCAAATATTTGAATCAAATTCAAAATTTGATTTGATTTTGCGGAGTACTATCGTGCAGTTCCATGGTCCACGGTTCAGGCCCGACCCGGCCGTTTGAATACTAAAAAACTTACCAAGAATTTAATAAAATGTTTGAACTCTTTAGGATATCGATTAATGAGGGAAAAAAGTGTATTTTTCAAAGAATTATTATCTTTTTTAAGGTGTTCAATTTCATGATAAAGTCGTTCAATTTCGTCTTCAAAATAATCTGCTTTAGATAAACAATATGATTGATAACTCTCGTCGTTCTCTGACATGGATGTGAAGTTTTCTCGTTCTTCATGAGAATAGGATTCTTTTTCATTAGGCATTGTAAAAAAAACTTTGATTTAAAATTTTGATGGATAACGGATCGGATGGCTAAAAAAACCCATATTTATAGTAGCTACAAAATTTATAGTGGTGATACATAAGTCCTATCGTGATAAAAATTCGTGTGCATATATTGTTCACAAAAATTAACTGCAATATGCACAAAAAATAAAATAACATGCTAATATAGAAAGATCTTTTTTCACTGCAGAGTTTTTTAACACTAATTATGTGGTTGGCATAATAATA